TTGTGCGTGAGTACTTACAGTCCAGCGTGGGATGAATTTAACAAATCGGAAGTATGTAAACTAAATTGATACACTGATTGGAGTCCTTTTTATGCGGAACTCAACATAAGTGAAAGAAAACAAATGGTTCATCGCCTTAACAGTATACAAGCACAAACTTTTAGGCCAGTAAGCATGAAACGAAATTACCTATTTTTATACAATATTAGTAATGATTTACATAGACTTTGTAATACCAAAAATGACACAGAATAATAAACTCTAGCTTTTAAAATCATGGCAATACAAACAGTCGCGAATGGAACAACAGTGAATGCAGGCGTGCAAAAGGAATGCTAAAATACATTAGGGACGTGAAAACAAAAAGAAAAAAGGCATGGGTCTGGGAGCTCTCTATTCTTCTCCTGACGTACTGCACCATTTACGCATTTCTTTTTTCACCTGTGCTAAGGATTGCAAATTAAGTAAACCATCGGGAAGATTATTAAAATATGTTGGTACATAATACTCCCTCAACCTTTTCCCATAATTAGTGTATATTCTTGGTATGTGAAATCTCTCTGTGTGCCTTAGTTGTTTTTCTTTAGCGGATGGTATTTTGAAATCGCGTGTGAAATAATATTTTGTGAGGATCATGAATTTATGCAGGTCATTCACTGTTAGCAATTGGAGTTCTGACAGCTGTTCTTGAAACGAAAGACTTTCTAAGTGTGTACCATACGTCATGTTTTGTATCATTTCTTTAATTAGGTTATTTATTTTCTGTAGTTTGTATTTGGATGAAAGTGCATATCTGTGGATACCATATCTTAGTTTTGATTCACCTAACATCTGATAAATCAATCGCCTTAGATTAATACTTGCAGAACTTCGGAGTTTATAGAGGTATGAAGAAATTATTCGCAGGTGTTTGAGTAGGTAGTCAATATGATGATTCCAAGATAAATACCCATCAAAGTGTATACCAAGGTACCTAGTTTCACTGGCGTAAGGTAGTGGTAAGCAAGAACATTGGCTACATTCCGATGAATGCAAAAAGATGGGTTGATTAAGGTTAATTCGTTTCTGGTGAGTTCGAAAGCACACGAGGTTCGATTTATCATTGTTCACAAAAATATAGTTTTTTGAAAACCAACTCATAATTTGTTTGATGTCATCCTGTAAAATTGAAACGGCAGTATTATAATCTTCGTGTGTAATAACCAAGGCCGTGTCATCAGCGTATTGATACATTTTTGATTTCAAAGGAAGCAAAGATAGATCGTTCACATATATGTTAAACAGCATGGGACCCAATACCGAACCCTGAGGCACCCCAGAGTTCAGCTGCGCAGTAGAACTTGTGCTATTTCCTATTCGAACTCGTTGGGTTCTCTCAGTGAAGTAACCTTTAAAAAATGTACGGAAATGCCCTCTGAAACCATATTTATCTAGTTTCTCAATTAAAAGTGAGTGATCTATTGTATCAAAGGCCTTTGTCAGGTCTAAAAACAGTGTAAGTACTATTTTGTTATTATCAATTTGTTCATTAATTAAGTCTGTTATCTCCTCCAGTAGAAGTATCGTGCCTCTTTGATGCCGGAATCCATACTGGCAGTTGCTTATTAGTGAGAATTTGTCACAAAACGAAGTCATGACTTGTAAAACAAATTTTTCCATTATCTGAGAAATTGCCGGCAACAACGCGATGGGCCTGTAATGAGCAATATCTTTCTTGTTTCCTTTCTTATAAATTGGCCGTACTATTGAAACTTTTAACTTACTGGGTATATTTCCTGTAGACAACATACCATTTATTATAGCAAGCAGAACGCGTTTTAAGCAGTCTATGTTATGTTTTATATCTCTAAATCTTATTTCGTCAAATCCCGCTGGCTTTGTTATAGACATATTGTTAACTATGTATTCTAGATCTGATTCTGTCATTTGGGGCAAGTACGCCGAAACAGTTGAATTCCCTAATAGCTGAGCTGTTCCTACCATGCTGTTTACTTGGTTACGCAAGTCTTGTATCTTCGTGATGAAGGTGTTATTAAACTCATTGCTAAGCTTATCTAAGTCAGTTGCACCGAAAGTTTTTTGTATACATGCATCTATATTATCTTTAGGGGGTCTGCCAATTATTTGATTTACGATATTCCATGTTTCTCTTAAGTTCTTCCCGCACTGCTGGAGTTGCGTCATATGAAATCTCTTTTTAGCAAGTCTAATTTTCGCAGTGAGGTTGTTTCGTACTCGTCTGAATTCTTCTTTTAATTTTATGTCATGTGGATTTTGCTTACACCTATTCCATAATTTGTTTTTTTCAACACTCATTTCTAGTATTTCTTTATCGATCCAATTATTTCCAGGTTTTCTCGGCTTTAGCTTTATTGTTCTAGTAGACTGTTTGTATATATTTTTAAATGTTTCAACTAAAGCATCATAGAGAGTGATGTGATCCAGATGAAGCAAAGCATTCCAGTTATATCTTTGAATAATGTCATCTACTTTCTTATTGTCAATGATTTGTTTGCGTTCATTTTTCCCTCTCACGGTCGTATGCTCTTCGTTTATTATCCTAAGCGCAACAAAATAATGATCTGCTACCTTTTGTTTAATAGTTCCCCCTAGAAATTTTAAGTTACTCAACCTTACTATCACATGATCAATGCACGATCTGGTAATTGTATGCCCTAGGTTCTCTTCCCTTGTGTAATCGTTAATTAAATTATATAAACCGTAGTTAGACAATATGTCGAGATATTCCGTAACTCCCGTTTTCTTATGGCACATGGTATCTATATTAAAGTCACCTGCTAATACGAGTTGATCATTGTTATTAAACCTATTTAGTAATTTCGAGAATTCTTGATAGAACAACTCTAAATCATTGCTGGGTGGTCTATACACAGAACAAATTGTAAATGACAGTTCTGCTTTATGAATAGTAATCACAAGAACTTCTGCGTGTTTCAAGTAGAGCTCAATACGATCAGTTAGCCAGGTATTTTTTACGTATACAAGAATTCCTCCTCCTTTTCTGCCTTGGCGGCGTGCTGAAAATGCGTGAAATTCATCAAAATTAAAAGGTAAAGGCTCTGTCGCCTCGATATTTATTTCGGTTAGTATTAGTACATCTATATCTATGAGTGTATCCCGCAGGTATACATTTAGTTCGCCCCAGTGTTTTTTAAGGCTTCTAACATTGATTTGAATGAGATGGAGAATCTGCCGGCTGCCTTCTATTCCGTCCTCAACTAGTAAATTTTTGGTGTACCTGTTCCAATCTGTAAATGAGCTGCACGAGGTCATATCAGCGGATGTGGTTCAAGTCACTTTCATCCTCGATACGTATCCGCCTTACTAGAATTTTTCCATTACTCATCCAGACATATTTATAGCCTTTTTCCTTTGCACATTCTTTCGCGTTCCAAAACAACCATCGCTGGAGCTTCGTTAGGTTATCGTTGATAAAAATGCGTTCAGATTTTAATGCGGAACGCTTATTGACCCATCTATCTCTCTCCGACCTGTCCCTGAACCGCACGATGATTGGCGGGATTTTTCCTTCCCTCGCTTTCAATCTATGCACAGACTCAATCTTATCCGGTTGAGGCACAGGAAGGTCCAGCCTTGCTGCTAGATTACCGAGAACCGCTGCCAGGTCTTTTTGATTATTCTGGACGATACCGTGAATTTCTATGTTCTTCCGCCGCGAATATTGTTCAGCGTTTTAAACCGCCCATTCAAGCTCTTTAATTCGCGCGTCCCTTTCTGTACCTAGTTTTTCTAGTTCTTTTGTCTTTTTTTTCAGCTCGTTTGTGACATGTGAGAGTGAGTCAACTTTTTTTATCAAGTCGTCGTACTGCTTCGACAGCATGTCAGTTGTTTTCTCGATCGCTTCGATGGTCTTTTCCTGCTTATCCAGTTTCTGAATAACTGTGTCATGCTTTGTTGACTGCAAATTTAGTTTTTTTTCAATGGTCTCAATTCTACTCAAGACCTCCATTAGTGTTTGGTTAGTTTTTAAGAGCTGCCTCATCAGGTCTTTCTGAGACTGAGTGCCTTCTTCAGTTTCGGGGGCTAGTGCTCCTGTCTGACTGTCAGTTGGCAGTGATTGCCGCTGGGAGTGTACAGTACATGTTGTACACCTCCAAGACAACAAATCAGAGGGAGTCATAGCTTTGAATTTAGTTTTGCTAACTCCCGCACATTTTCCAACATGGTTGAAAAGGTTGCATTCTGCACATTTTAGCTTTTGGCTGTCAGGTGTTAGTTGTTTCAAACAAGCGATGCAATCAATGCTCTCTTCTGGCGAAGACATGATTTGCAATGTACCACAGCAATGTACAACAGCAGGCAGACCAGCGGAGTGATGAATGCAGTCAAAGGTCAAACTAAGACCTGCACCCACCTGAGGGTCAAAGCGGAGATGTTAAAATCGCCTCGTACACTCCGCTGGACTGCACTGCTTCCACGCTTGTCTGTCGCTTATATGCCGCGGCGTCGGTGGGCGTTGCTCCGTATCTTCGACATCCGCAGCCCGTCAGCGGTCCTTGCGTGGTGACGTTGCAGCTGCGATGGTAGTGCAGTTGCAGACGACCGGCGATGTTAGCCTGAGGGTCAAAGCGGAGATGTTAAAATCGCCTCGTACACTCCGCTGGACTGCCAATTATAGTATTCCAGATGGCAGCCTTTTGATCCCGAGAAAAGAACAGGAAAAAAAAAAGTGATCGCGCCTTCGCGCTGGATGTGCCGTACAGTATGCATTGCAGTATGCTCAGGGAACATACGTTAAGTGTTATCCTGTTAAGGCAAACAAATATTTTGTACTTTTAATATATTGCTTTTTCTCATGTGTCCGGATGTCGTACAGTGTAAAACGACCTTCCCTGTATTATATGTTAGGCAGCTCCAATATTTTCTCTACGGCCAAATGCTGCGCTTGGGAAGAAGCAAGGAGAATCCAAGAGTGCTGGCGGACTCTTTCATCTCTCCATGTCACTTCTCCATCACAGACTCGTACAAGGGCGATCACCGCGCCATCTACGTGGATGTTTCAAACTCGACCGACGTCAGCGATCTCTTCGAAGAGATCGAGTCCTCGTTTCCGGGCAGAAAGATTAGCGTCGTGGTGAACAGTGCCGGCATCCCGGGGGTAAACATGGGGCCAATACAAGATACAAGCGACTCTGAATTCGACAATGTCATCGCCACCAACCTCAGAGTAAGTGCAAGAAAATCGATGAAGGGTATATTACTAACCTTCATCCTTTGGCTGTAGGTCCGACCACTAATGTAATAATAATTGAATTCATTACGAAATAGATTAAAATTTCTACTGAATAAATGACCCAACTTAGACGTTGATATTACTTATAGATGTTTGCTAAAGGCTAATGGTCGCCACAGTGTTTCTAGCGCTGTAAAAGAAACCGGGTTAAATCGACGCCTTAACATAGGCAAATCTAACTTTCACCAAATGTGCATTTGCGCTAAACTTTACCTCGTCAAATCTCAAGGCGTAGTTATTCTTATGGAAAACATTAAACGAGCAAACTTGCTGAAGTGAACGGTGGACGTGTTCGCGTGCGACCGATTTAGCGATGAATTCAACTTGTGGTACCACCTTCCGAAAGGCGACGCTAGCAGACGACGAAATCTGCTGTCTGCTAGATGCGCGTCTCAGAAGATGGCGCCACAATTTTCATTCAGACAACTCGGTCGTCAGTGCACACGTCCACCGTTGTCCTTCTCAAGTTCGTTGATCTCATTTTTTTTTTACACGCAGATAGGTAAGCCTAGAAATTTCACAAGGTAAACTCTACCCACTAAAAGCACATTCTATCCATGCTTGTACATTCAAAGGAGAATCTCTAAGCTTTTCCGGTTTGTTCTACACTTTAAGAAAGGCCTGTGCGCCTGCTTAGATGCAAAACACTCGAAAAGCCAATCCCTGCAATCTACGAAATCAGATCAGCGAACGATGAGGCGGAACATCTATTTAGATCTCAAAATTAAGTCTGCACTGTGGCATTACGTAATGCAAAGGCTCATGCTTGCATTGCGTAGTGCCACAGCGCAGACTTAATTTTTAGGTCTAAAGAGATGTTCCGCCTCATCATTCGCTGAGCTAATCTCGTAGATCACACAGACTGGCTCTTCGAGTGTTTTTCGGGTAAATAGGCGTGCACGCATTTCTTAGAGTGTATAAAGTAAGAAGCGCTTTGGCCACCGTATGCAGCGTGGGTTATTGGCAGTGTTGGAGGTAACGCGTTAATACTGATGGCGTTACCAGTAACAAGTTGCATTTTGTGTAACTTGGAAACGCAAATGTGATGATTTCAAAACAGTAACGCGTAATTTACTTACGTTACTTATTTCGAGTAACGGGTCACATAGTGACGTTACTCGTTCGATACTCTTCCTAAAACTTAAAAAAAGCATATAATATTTTTAAAGTGCTTTATGCTTCTATGCGTCTTAATGTTATATTAGTTGTTTTGTTTTTCTTTGGTTTTTCTTCTAAGTATTTAAGTTACCGTAAGAAGATGCCTGTAATTGTGTTCAATTTCTGAATAAGCATGAGGTTTCTTAAAATATGGCGCTTCTGCATGCCTCTAACCTCAAAACAGTAAAACGTGTTAATTACTAATTAAAAAAAAGTGACGGAAAACTAACGTGCGCTCTTCTTTATTGGTAACGGTAACGGTAACGCGTAAATCTTATTTTGATGTAACGTAGGACGGTAAGGTGCTCCTTGGTTAGTAAGGAGTAACGTATTTTGTTACTTTTTTCGTTGGCGCCTACAACACTGGTTCTCGGCCCTTGAAAGATTGTGACACCGGTTCAACGCCACAGAGTACCGGAGCATTAGGCCTGTCAGCATGCGCCACTAAAAGTACTGAGCGCAAGATTTTTAGTGCGGAAAAGAATTCTCAAGTTTTTTTTTTGTTCCATTTTTTTCTTTCTTGGGGTCGGTTCAGAATACCGCAGCGCTGATAGAGCTTCAGGTCAGCGGGATATTACCGCTACATTCTGCGCCGAATCCGAGCTAAGCGAGCGCCGAAACACAGGTCATCTCCGAAGAGCATATAAAGAACACAAAGCATACATAAAAAATATTCATTTTTAGTAGATACACTATTATTTACATATAGTTTCACAGAGTATATTGTCCTCGAGATGTTTACAGAATAATCCATTGGGATCACCTGCGCACGTCAGTGGGACCATGTCCCTAGTTAGTGCATATGGCCAATCAGTTGAGTCCTTGCTCTGGCAGGGAACCTTCCTGATCGATCGAGCCTCGGTGAGACACATGCTGGACAAAAACGTCACGGACGGCTCCATCGTCAACATCGCGAGCATCATCGCAAAAACTGGCTTTCCTGGGGCCACACCCTACTCCGCATCCAAGGGTGGCGTCGTCTCCCTCACCAAGGCAGTGGCCCTCGAAGTCGCCAGCAGGGGCATCCGGGTCAACGCCATGCTGCCGGGTCCCGTCGACACGCCCATGCTCGAAAAGTTGCCCGCTTCGGTGGTGACCGCCTTCGTCGATGCAACAGCCTTCAAGCGCGAGGCCCGGCCCGAAGAAATTTCGGAGACTATTGCCTTCATGTGCAGCCCGAAAAGCAGCTTCATGACGGGAGCGGCAATCGATGTCACCGGGGGTATTATAGCGTAATCTATGCAGCTATAAAAAGAAGTACCTTAAAATCAGAACGTTCGTAGTTTATATTGCAGATTTTTTATATGCAGCGCTGGCTTAATAAAGAAATGCGTTATAAGGGTTTTGTGTTTGGGGGATCACGTTTCTTCTAAACGCGACAGAAAGCACGAGTGAAACGCATTAGACAAGGCGCGGAGGAGACCACGGATCAACTAGTTGGGGTCACCTGGTGGCGGTTGCGTCACGTGATTCCAAGATGGCGGCGCCCATGCGACGGGGGGTGAAGATGTCTATATGCGCAAGTCGTAGGAGAGACAAAAATAAACACCTTGAGATGTAGGTAGGATTGCCTGATTTTGTAGCTTATTTCTAGTGAAATTGGGCGGCTGCATTTGGGAGTTTTTTATTTGCCAAATATATGGGGTTTATCGGGGTTTTCGTTTCGTTCGATTCCCAAGTGTCCGAAAGTGACAGTTTACTTTACTATATTCCCAATTTGTTTCCAAACTTCTAAAAACAAAATAAAGTCTGAACACACTACTTATCATAATTTCATCAGAACTGACCTGCATTAAATTATATTTCTGAGGAGGCCTTTGGCATTGTAGCCCTTGCCATTGGCAATAGAAGCAATACCACAAAAATACTGCAATTATGTGTTGCTTAATTAACCGTCGATAACCGTCTTATTAATAATCCTTGAAGTTTTTGCTTGAAGCATGGAAGCTTAAGCTTCCCTCCCCCTCCATGAAGTTTTGGGTTTCATAGCTTTCACTGTTATAAAGCACTACCCATCCTTCCTCTAGAAGCGCAAAAAGTATCGTTCCAAACGGGAAACCCAAACAATTACATTTGTCGTGACCCAGACGCACCATGCCCGTTAACATCTCTGAAACTGCGCGAGCTAGGAGGTAAACACCCATTTGTCAGTAGTCCGAGATTTCAAAGAATACTGAAGTGGCCTCTCCTCAAGACCACTGACCTTGGGCTCTTGCCATTTTTTGTACGACACCGTCTTTTATGGTCTCTTCGCCATTGTGACCTCGAAATTTTTCGTTTTTCGAACAAATGAGAATTGACGGAATTTTTACCGGCCAGTATCTTTCGAATATCTTCGAGTTTATCTGAACACACGGAACCATGGGTACTGCCATGTGATTCAATAAAAAATGTTACACGGGGATATAAAAGAAGAATTTATTACGAACTACGTACTTATTTGATATAGGATGATAGTACAAAAGAACGGCAACAATTACGTGCTCCTGCGCAATGGTTGACCGAAAGTTTTGGTTATAATTAATATAGGTGTATCCACTTATTCCTGCAATTATAATACCTTCATAGGGAATCTGCTGTAAATTGGTTTCTTCGGTTTAAGATCTATCCGGTAAAAAAAGCAGTATTCGAGATAATCTGAAAAAAAAAAAAAAACTATGTTAATAGGAGGCTATCTTTTGTGAGAACACGACAGGTTTGTTTTTGTGTGTTTGAATTATTATAACATTTTCTGCATACCCGCCCCCCCCCCCCCCCCCCCTCCGTATTCCGTAATATTTCTTCTATATGTAAAAACAAAAAAAAAAAGAAAACTAGCTTTAGCTCCTTATCAAACGACTGCGTCAATAACGCAATGTCCCAGCTTATTTAGCCACTCAACCTAGAACCTTTAGCTTAGGCGAGTCTTTTTATAGATGTTATCCGAGCCTTTCGCTGCTCTTATTTTGTTGAAGTTATAACTTATGAACGCGTTTAGTTGCTGCCCCCATATATAATGCAGATGCATCCTCTACCAAAACATTTTAGTAGGAGATAAACTAGTTTGATTTATGAGTTCCCTGCTGATTATACCTAGAAATACGTTTGACTTGGGAATCCATTGGCCACTATGACCGTGATAGCTTTCACTGCCCACTAGTTTTGCCGCATATATCTTAGCGCAATCACTCGAAATGATTCTCTCCACATCTTTGATAGTTGACGAGATCGCGTCTGAAGACAGACGAGTGTTTTTTGAATAAAATATACACGAACTCGTCTCTGTTACGTCACGGCGCGGTGGTGGCGCGTCGAACGCACTTCCGGACTGGGGCTGTGGGCGGGAGCGGCCATAGGGCACGTGCGTTCTTGTGTTACTTAAGAAAAAACCGGACAAAAACTTGTCTTCTCGTCAAAACGCCGCGACTCGGGCTTTACCAAGAGAATCGGGGAAGGTTTGAAGGTCAGTTTTCATGCGTTTTCTGCCCGCTCGGTTCGTCCGGGAACGTGAGCAGGGGCCGTTAAAAAGTAAAAAAACAGACGCTGTCGGACCACGCTTGCATGGGCGGAGAGCACTTTGGATTGAATTCACGGATACTTGTGATCGTCAAATTTATTTGTTTTGTTCCAACATGAACGCGGGAAAACCGTCAAGTTGCGCGGACCACCTGCGGACTACGTTCAATGCTTCATCACGTTCAAACGGCCGCCTCATCGTTCGAGCTGTCGTCTGCTCTCTAAAAACGTTTCTGCTTCTTGTCTGCTCGTTCAAACGACAGCAGCCCGTAGACCAAATGTTGACCCGGTAATTGCAATAAGAAGGGAAGACCTCACAAGACATTTAAAGGGACAATGAAGACGATTTTATTTAATTTTTTTAAATGGTGTTTTAATGCTTCTTGGGAACATAGCATGCCGCCCAATTTTTTTTAGACATTTATGACGCGTATTTATGTGCATACGAAAGAAGTAAGGAAACCGAAACTGAACCATCTCCAGTCTCGTTTCTGGGCCTCCGAAAACGGAGGTGACGTAGGGAGTGACGTCAAGTGTGAATAGTCGCTATCGGTAGTATTTAGAAGATCAAGACTCTGGTTACCGCGGTGGGTTATAGCAGCGCGGTGGCGCGGTCGTTGCGCCGACTCTGTCAACATGGACGAATGCCGCTCTCGCGAGCGAGTTCGAGCTTTCGTTCAGCGACCCAACGCCAACGGAACGGGAGTACGTGTGTGGCGGCCTCTGCCATCACCCGACGGAGACCGTCCAGCCGGCAACGAGCGGCCCGCATGCCGAAGGACGGACGCGGGGGAGATGCCGAAAGGAAAGCAGCAGCGATCCCGCCGTTCCGGGATCCGGTTCCTCCGCAGACTTCCTCTTTTCGTCGTCAAAGGACGCGAACAGCAACCCACACGTGAAAACTAGCGTCGCCCGAACGAATACTGGTCTTCAGTCGACCGTTAGAACAGCCATCCATCTACAGCTACCATTTTGCAAAATCTTTCGAGTACCGTGTTTTTTTTTAATTTTATTTGTTGGCCCACAGTTGCTCGTTGCCGGTTTGGCGTCCAGCGTAGCAAAGAAAAAAACAATGATGCTGCTTTATTTACGGCTAAGTAATCATTTCCGATCCGATTTACACTTTTGATGGTTATTCAAGCGAAAATTAGAACAGTATTTCTAAAAATCGCGAACCAAAACGTGACCGAGGGCACGTTTCTCGTTTCGACCAATTGCTGACGCGTCTCTTGTGACGTCGCGCTTCTTGGCCCCGCATCGGTCACGTGAGCTCCGCTTCTCCTGGCTTCTCCCGCAACTCTCGGGGCGTCGCCCCAGTCGATCCCGGTAAGATTGTTACCGCGACTGTTTGATTGATTTGCACGGCACACAAGCGCCGGTTTCGGCTGAAATTTGGGCAACGTGGCCTGAGACGTGCCTGAAACCCAGTTCAATCGCCAAAAAGATCTCTGAAATTGCCTTCATTGTACCTTTAAGTTTGAAGGTGGCTTCGGGTAAGTCTCCGTGTAAACAGAAGATAAAAGGAGATGTTATAATTGTTACCAGTGGCCATCACCGACTTGCTATGCCTGATTCACTCGGTCCGATTCTGCTTGCGATTTTCAGTATGGACGTCGACATCTCAGCTACGGTTCAAGCTTTTGCAGCCCGAGCGACGTCATGAGTGAAAATAGCGAGCAGAACCTCACCATGTGAATCGGGCTTTATCGTCCATTCTGCGGCGTCCACGCGGGATGAATCACCGCATGTTGCAATATTCACGCCAAGTGTTGCGGTGTAACGAGCCTCCTATTTTCGCTGAGGCCGCTCAAGTAGTCAGGCATTGCCCCTCCTCCCCCCCCCCCCCCCCCTCCTCAGGAAGACGTACAATCAATAATTCCAACGCGAAAAAGAGCGCGGGGACTCGCACCAACGCCGAAAAAGTCCCATTCCAATGGTTTGTTTATGGGCGCCGACGAGCTTCTGTCCAAGCCCCCATCGCTCATGCGCGGCGCCGGTGGCGTCCGCTAGGGGAGCTACAGTTTGTTTGTAAACGTGAGTTGGTGTACAGATACATTTTCAAAAAGTTTGTGTACAAGGTGTTAGGCAAACAAATGTTACCTATTTGGAAACGACACAGTGAGGTGTTTTTAGTACTCTCTAAAGTTTTTGCGTAAGGTCTTTTCAGAAGAAGATAATATTTAACGAATTAGATAACTATTCTGTGTCAATAAGCTGGTTTGGGGACACTGACTAGCTCAATAGGACCTGCCGGCTTCGTCGGTGGTTTTGTGCGTTGCTGGCACTCGTGGCATGATCGTGTGCAGAAATGAGCGGTCTTCGGGAGCTTGAGTCAGTAATACCTTTCACAAATTCGGGCCAGCGTGCCATTGTAAACAAGATACCCGGACGTCGGGTCGTCATGACAGGCTTGAGACATCTCCTCCTTAAGGTCGGTAGGAATAATCAGCAACCAGGGCGAGTTGTTTTATCCGAAATTGTACTTATAAAGTACACCTTGTCGAACGGCAAAGGTCGGCAGCACTCTCGAGAAGACACGGAGGATAGCACCGCCTTGTCCTTCGAGGTGCTCGATTAGCGCGCGCAGCTCAGGATCGTCTCGTCGACGTTCTGCCATTTCGTTGGTGTTCACTGTGCCTAGGGAGCACTCGTTGTCATCGTCGTCGCTGCTGCCGGAAGGTGTCTCGACAGGGGCTCTGGGCATGTAGCCGGCGTCGCTGTGCTCTTGGCCTGACTTGTAGACAAACATCCATGTCGAACTCCTGTAGTAGGAGACTCCATCGAGTGAGGCGGAATGGGGTCGCGTGCAAGTTCGGGCGAAACATCATGATTGCCCAGACGAGCACCA